GACGAACAATGTTCGAGATATCAAACATTTCCGATCTTCAGAAACATTGTTCGGAACAAATGTTCGGCGACTTTTTTCACCGCACATTGGAGAACATTTCATGGAACATTGCTACGATAATGTTTTTTAGCAAAATGTTCGGCAATGTGCGCCGGGCTTTACAGGGTTTACTAGAATCCCACCACTCCACCACAGAGTCACTGCAGTAGACGTAAGATGAGCGCTGTCGCTCCGCGGCACTTGTTGTTAAGTTGTGTTCTCATTCTTTGTACCTATGTTTTCTTCTGGTTCCTGTAGTCTATGTATGCCCTATTTTATTATTCAAAAATGGTTATTTAGTGAACAAACCGATCGTAGACGAAATGGGAATGGGGTAGATTTTGAGTGTAGACGAATTGGGAGTAGCTAGGTGAAATGAGTGTAGGCCAACTGGGAATTTTGCTGTAGGCGAAATGGGAATTTTTGCCGTAGGCGAAATGGGAGTAGGCCAACCGGGAATAAACCGATTGAGCCCTCATACGCCATAAGCCAAAGTGCAAAAAATCGCTCTAGAAAATGACTGATATTATAGTCATAATTAAGCTGCAATCATCAGGGAAATATGTATTGTTTAATGTCGCACAGTAGGCCTATTATACAAATTGTTACTTATTATTGCTGTGCATATTTTATTTACTAGTTTGAAGTAGTAGCGATCGAGGTTGTGGCTACATGTAGTGTTTGTTTTTAACATGAATTGTCAATCTTTTGGAACGTTGGTCTATATACGATGTTTCATTATTTCAGGCAGTCGTGTCTGAGTGTGATCGGTGTGCTAATCAAAATGCCTATAAGCGGCACGTGAAAGAGATGATGGTGGATAATCTTGGCACTGAGACCTGGTGGCAATCGATAACATGGAGCAAGATATATCCCAACCCTCTGGAGATAAATGTCACATTTACATATGGCGACAAGCTGTATGAGTTGGCAAGTGATATTGAAATCACATTCCAATCTGCGAGGCCACGGACGATGGTGTTGTGGTCGTCAAAAGACAATGGTATCACCTGGGATCCATTACAGTATTACTCTAGCAACAGGTGGGTGAAACATATGTTTCTCAGCATAGCATATTTTATATTGCACATAATAACTCGGTAAAAGGTTTCAAAAGAAATTATAACTGCCTGTACTATATAATTAATTGCCTTGTTGTTTGACCAGTAGATACAATTAATTAATAATGTAACCCAAAGACAGGGGTGGGGGCCCTACCCCTGTGGTTGGGTATACGTTACATTATTGTATCTATTTGACCAGGTGTCCCACGTTTGTACGGACACGTGGCGTGAAGACGTTTTTCTCACGCGCTGACCTGGCAGCAGTAGTTTGCACTGACAAGTACAGTAGTGTGCTGCCATCTAGTGGAGGTAAAGTAATATTTCCCCTAAGTGAACGGCTAGACTTGGTGCGTCGAGCTGGAGGAAGTACAGCCCTTTACAGTGAACTGGCGAGAAATGATGCTCTACAGGTGGGTACAGTAATGCATGCATCATTCTTCTCTTAGGAGTACCCACCAGAGGCGTGTTCAGGAGAGCGAACGCTCGTGAGCGATCGCCTTCTGAACGACACCGCTCGCTCGCGCAAACTCCAAAGGCTGTTCGCGCAGCGCGCGGGTTGTTTACAAGATGGCGACGGGTAATCTGGCGAATGGGAATCTAACATTTCTGACTTCAATTTGCAATCTATTTCAACTTCATTTCATTTTTAATTCATTCATTTACTTCAAATAAAAAATAAATAAAAATAAATAATAATTTAAATTCAATTCGTATCAATTTCGTCTGCTAATTCGTTTAACAGTACTTGTTCAAAGACATTAAAATCTCACAATTAAAATCTGCTGAGTAACCCTCCATGGGGGCCGCCATCTTGCATAAAGCCAGTAATTAATGGCTTTATTAGCTCATCTCGTGCACAGCGAGCGCTCGTGTGTCGTTCAAGAGGCGCTGCGTTCGTGCATCGAGCGTTCGCATCGAGCGCACGCTCTTGAACACGCCTCAGGGCTGCTTGTGTATATTACACTATAGAAATTATCGTTCTTTGTCTTATGGTTCTTATATAACACTCTTAATTTATAGTTCTTATTATTCTCTATATATAACTGGTTCATAAGATATTAGATGATAAGTGCTTTAACATTGTGTCTTGGAAAATACTACTTTTTACGTTTTCGGCACGGTAATTCATAAAGCGCAAAACCTTGTTTTTCCACCGTGTAGAATTTCACATTGTTCAAATGTTCTCCGAATACAACTGCTGCACCAGCGACTGATGGTAGGGAGATCTATGGTGGTGACCCCTCACACATACCTCAAGTATTATTAGGAATCTCTGACATAGAGGTAACAGCCCGGGTAAGTTCCCGATGGCCGAAAACTTTATGCTGTGATCATACGTGATGTGTGATTTATGACTTGTGTGATGTGACCATATTATAGCTAGGTTAATTCCATGTAAATTATAGGAATCATAGGAATATTCTTTTCTGAATGTGCTATTTTTAACATTATGTAAACATAGATTAGATACATATTATATGTGACATATATACATGGCAGACCTGCCAACCCTTACGATTTTTCGTATTCCTTGACGAATTCCATGATGTTTCTACGAATGTACGATCAAACTGGAAAACTTACGATTATTTTTAAGACTTGTGAAAATTAATGTTTTTTACATTGTGAGCGAAGAAATATTGGCGATTGTGGGCGCAGCCATATTGATCACACGTTCACATTGTTCTCGCGTGATCTAGAGTTAGTCCATCATTCATTGGCGCGCATAACATACAAACAAAATGGCGCCTGCTGCCAAGAAAGAAAATCCTTACTATTTTCATGATCACAGGTTGGCAGTCTCTGTACATGTGACGGTATATATAATTATGCTGTGTAAATAATACTGTAAAAACAAATTCACTATAATTTCAGTTCCTGTTAATTTAAATCAGTCCAGTTACAACATTCACTGGACGATCTGCAGCCGCGATATACGCGCGAATGCGCTCAAACGCCGCGTAGCGGCCACTTTTGCATTTCGCTGCCCTCTTCCCAACGCCAGTACTACCGGTTCATTTCCTAGGAGAAGGGTGAAGCCGGCTTTTCGCTGAATTTGAGTCAGTTACTGCCCATTGCACGACAGTGTGGATCGCACTACCCAGTTAGAGTAGAGACTGGCCTGAAATCGCTCGCAATTTTTGTTCGCTACTTAGGCGCCGCTTTCTTTCCTGTACACTAACGGAGTTTTTGTCTCACATCTGCTAACAATTAGTGAGCGTGAGTGCGTAGCGTTGACTGGCTGAGCTTAGAGGATACGATATATAGGAACAAATACAACATCGTCTCGCTATTCGTAATAATCCAGTCTTAACAGTTAGTTTCATGTCACTCTTATCTGCTATTGTATCTCGGCATGCGTATTCACTCCTCATCAACTACAGATTTCCAACATGTGGCACAGTGCCTAAACTCCGTGAAACAGCTGGGAGCTTGAACTGTCAAGTGTTTCGTAAGAATTCACAGTGAAATTCCGGAGTGCTCGACTCACGGAAACGGCCAAGGATAGAGAACATGCGTCCCAATAAAACCGAATGTGCCTCGTACTCGGTTGATTCTACAGGCAACCTACTATATATATATGATATGCTAACCGATCCCCCAATGCCGAGCATCGAATTGTATCCACACCTGACGATTACTATCTATACTACACTACAACGATACACTGTTACCAAATAATTATACGCAAGTACCTACTATGTACTTACTTAAGTACAGGACTACTAGTAGTGAGTACTAGCTACTAGTTCACTACCAGGAGCTAATAATGACAAACTTGTGTTCCGGTACTGTAAGTTACTAATGATTAATTAATGACGACTTTCCTGTACGTTTAGTTTACTATGTACTCCTACTAAATATAAATAAAATATAATAGCTAACTAATACGAAGTCATATTTACTACCAAACTTCTCTGTTCTATAGCATAGGCCTTACTCTCTTTGAGCCTATTAATTGCCCCGAGTTTCCTGTAAATTCCGTCGAAATCCTACGCCAACGTACGCTGCGGTGCCATATGCTCTCGCGGCGCGAACTGTTGCACGCTATACACTATCATATATAGCAGTAGGAAAGCGTGCCTTGGCCAAAATTCGCCTAACGCTCACTTCATTTGAAACTTTCACAGCACGAATATCACATTCAATCAGCTTCCATCTTGGTGTTTCCTCCTTGAAACAACAGTATTCACTTGTTATTAAAAAACATACATGTCTCCTGTTCCGTAACCGAGCTGTGCTCATGCGAAATCACACAAAGGGACGGACGAAATTCTCGCCGTTCGCCGCAACCTTGCCCAGTAATGGAAATGGCTGTCAGCCGCAACACTGCAACGTTTTTGCAACCGTCCATGGCGAGCTCGACGGGAGTTGGAAAGCAGTGCGCCGCCTATATGGCCGCCGCTATAGCCAATAGACTGGCACCGCTTTCCACCTCTCGCTTAGCTTTAAGTCACTCGATGCCGTAATCGAGGGTGGAGTGAGTCCAGTCTATATTATAGCCCTTGTACTTGCCACGCCATTTTCCATTACTGCGCAAAGGGTTTCAGCGAACGCGGAAAATTTCGTCAGTCTCTGTGATTTCGCGTGACCACAGTAGGTTCACGAACAGAGACCATTATGTTTTTATAACAAGTAGAACA